TTGAGAAAATTTTTTCTATAAGCCCTTTATTAAAGTAAATACTCTTGAAGTGAAGTGACATTAATGTTGTAACTTACTTGTAAATGACCTGGCAGGCGAAGAAAGAAAATAAAAAAAAACTGTATGTAGAGAGAAAGAAAAAAGAAAATATGGTAAAGGGTATTATTGCTATTCCTCATATTTATAAAAATGATATGATTTAGGTTCTGAAAGAGAAGGTAACTAATCCAAGGTAATCAGCCAGCAAGCACTCAGTAAAACCAGACCTTGGGCTTCCATGACCTTTGCATATCACCACAAACTGGAGTTTGATGCTTTTCATGTTAGTGTACTGGGTTCATCATCCCAGGCATGTAGGAATGTGGCTGTGTTGCGTTCCACAGACCCAGGAGCAAGCTTGAGAATGTGACATTGGCTCTCATTATTGTGAGGCACACGTATGTCTCTCTCCTCCCTTCCTACCCCCTCTTCCCCTACCCCCCTGCACTATCATTCTTTTTGTTAGACTTTGGGGTCAGCGCATGTTTGTATGTTTTGTTTTGGCTTCAAATTAGAACCAAGTTTTCTGTCGTTTTAGTTGGGCATATGCAGGAATATGCTTGATTTGAGTAGCCCAGATTTATTATTTGCTTTTTGAGGCTAGATTTTAACTAGACAAAGTTGAAAATTTGCCCCATTAGTGACCTGAGAATTAGAATTGATTCCAAAAACAATGGAAACTATTAAATATTTCACATTTTTAAATTATCCACAAAATATTTGTGGTGATTAAAGTTGACTTAAATAAATTGTCTTTCACCTATAACATTGCTTACAAGGTTTTATTCAGATTAGATTAGGATGCATTTTTTTGGTTAACTTTTTTTTTTTCCTTTTTTAAAATAATTTATTTCTACCTGATGATTGAAGCACCATATATGAGAATTGTTTTGCTCTAGACAATTGACCTCTTGGAGGTCTGCCTTTAATTTCTTCTGCCTTTAATTGAACTATCAATTGTCTTTTTAGAAAATGTGTAAAAGAGCATCAGGAGACAGAGCCAAAGTGGTCTTATTTGCTTTTATACAAACTAAATTGCCCTTGTGGCCTAGCATAAAATCTAAGCATTAAGCCCTGGCTGGGTTGGTTCAGTGGTTGGAGTATCAACTCGCAGACCAAAGAGTCTCAGGTTTGATTCCCGTCAAAGGCACATACCTCGGTTGCGGTTCGGTCCCTGGCCCTGGTCAGGGTTGTGCAGGAGGCAACCAGTCAATGTGTCTCTCTCACATCTCTTTTTCTCTTTTTCTTCCCCCACTCCCCTGAAGATAAATAGAAAAATATCCTCGGATGAGGATTTGAAAAAAATTTTAAGCGTTAAAAGCAGTTACTTATTTTGACAACAGAATTAATTGAGCCTAAAAGAGTTGAAATTCCAGTTGTAGCAAACGATTTCTGACTCTCACTCTGGCTTTGGTACTGTCAAGAAAAGTAACTTATCTTATGATTAAATAGCAGATTGATGGGCAGTGGACAGCATTTGAGGGAAAAGTTGAATAAACCTTGTACTTGTGAAACAGTTCAGAAGTGACATGCTGCAAGGGGGGTCAGAATGTGCACTGATATCCAGCTGAGCTGTTAGCTGGCACTGAGCCAGGCACGCAATGCTTTGCCATGTGAAGCATCATGTGGAACATATGCCATTGAAAAAATCTTTTTCATGAGTGATTTAATGTATTTTCTTTAAAAGGGTATATTTAGTTTTATTAGACCACAGACTGTTAGTATTCCAATCTTTTATAGAAAGGCATATGTGTGGATGGTACTCAGTTAAAAAATTGTAATATACATTCTACAATTTGAAAGGATTTGGCATCTTATATTTTTAAAATGCCATTTTGAATAGTTTATTTTATTGGACATTTTCATATTTCAAATGGATTTTAAGAAAAGATAAAGAGAAAAGCCATCAAATTATATTTGGTATAGGAAAGGGGTTTTGTGATTTTAAAAATGTAGAATTTTGTTTAAAGGGATTAATTTTTATAGAGTTAAGGGATGCTGTTACTATTTTCACAGAAGTGAGGGTATCTGAAAATCTTAAAAGAACATATACTATATTTGCTAAGGAGATGTTGTAAAAGTATTTCTAGACATATTTTTACATATTTGTAAGTGACATAATTTGTTTGGCATTCATGTTTTGTTTTTCTTTCTAGAATAAGCCCATAGTCTGAGTATTAGAGGTTCTGTAAATGGTTACTGGGCACAAATTACATGTTGTGATACTGTGTAGGAGAATTTTCCATTAACCACATTTCTAGTTCTTTTTTTGTAAACTCAGATTTCTTTGACAGGTGGTTATATCTCTCAAGCTTTGTGAGTGAGTGGTAAAACTCATAATACATAATAAGCTGTTGGTAATTTAAGTAGAGATTTTTCATTCTTTTGTTTTTTAAACCTTCACCCAAGGACATGCTTGGGGGTAGGGCATGAGAAAGATCACTGTGAGAAAAACATGGATCGGTTGCCTTCTGTATGTGCCCCCATCAGGTCTCAAACTTGCAAGCTGAGTATGTGCCCTGATGGGGAATCAAACCAGCAGCCTTTTGGTATATGTGCTGATGCTCCAACCATTTGAGCCACTCCAGCTGGACAGATTTTTCATTCTTTATAATATTTATACCAAGTACAAAGTTGCTAGTTATCAGCTACACATACTAAAATCCTTCACCTCTATTGATCTTTCAGTTCTTACCTCTTTGTCAACCATTAATATAGGCCTTTAAAGGACTCTAAGAACAAGTTCATTGCCCTTTCGTTTAATGAAATCTTAGCTTCCAACTTTGCAGAGAGTGGACTTGCAGTCTTTAAAATTTTAATTAGGCCATTTTCTGATTTGACTTAAGTTCATATCATAAGATACCCTAGTAAGGAATGTACTGCTAATAAATTCATTAGGACGTTGTTTGTCAACTCACTTTTATGACTGTTTTATTCTGCTTATCACCAAATGTTAATCTGTTCTATTTTAATGGAAACTGGAACAACGAAGTTAATCTTAGATTGGGGAACATTTTATTTTATTTTTTGGAAATATCGGGAACATTTTCTTCCCTTTTTTAAAATTAATTAATTTATTTATTTTTGTTAGCAACGTTGTCTCCCCCCCCCCACGATTCGCCCCTCCCCCTCCTTCTCCACCTTGTCCACAGCTTTGTTGTCCATGTTGATTGGGGAATATTTTAGCCAATAGTTTTAGATGCTCCTAGTTGTAGAGAAATTTTTCATGTTAATCAGTGGTTTTCTTTCATAATGGAATAATCATTGAGAATTCTGATCATGAATTTGCACACAGTTATAATTAAGCTTAATGTCTCAGAAGAAACAGTAATGAAATCTTCTGTTATCTACTCTTTACTTCAAACTGTATTTTTAATATTCTTGATATAACAGGTTGTACCAATTACCATTAATTAAAAATTATTTCAGAACAATGGTGGACTTGTATAAATGTATATATTAAAAAATAGGGCTGAAACAGAAGATAATTTTTTAGTCTGATGTTTAGCTTTGGGGATAGTTCAATAGAAGAATAATTCATACTTTTGCTACTTTCTTTACCTCTTAAATAATTTGGTATTTTTACATGCATGAAATATACCATATTCTATGGCATTTAAGGCTAGTCTCAGCAGACCTGTCATTTCAGGGTTATTTTAGTTATTTTCTGATTTCTATTTTATCATCTCCCTTTCTACAGTCTATCACTCATGCAAGTGCTAAATTAATTTTCCTATAAAACCACTTTACAGGTGTGTGTGTGTGTGTGTGTGTGTGTGTGTGGCCTTCTCACATGAAAATTTCTATTGCCTGCAAATTTCAGTTTAAATTTCTTGAGTTGCTATATACAGTTAGAGCAGCAATTGTCAACCTTTTTTTTCTCATGGTGCACATAAACTTTGGTGCAACACAAGAAAAAATATATTTTTTGTCTCTCTGACCAAAAAATATGTATAATTGATTCATTCACACCAGACGGCTATTGTGTTGGTTGTTGTCATTTTTAAATTGGACAGTCTAAGGGAAAAGAGGTCAGTGCCCCTGACTAAATAGTCAGGTATTGCATGTTTTAAAAATTCTTGCAGCACACCCGTTGAAAATAGCTAAGTTAGAGAGATCTGAGTGGTAATCCCATCATCGTCACTTAGCTAATATGTAATTAATTAATTTGTTTAGTAGATATAGAAAACCTCTTATTTGCCTTTCACAGTGGTGAATGAGACAGACAAGGTCCCAAGTTTACATTCTAGTGGTATTTACTATCTTGGCCTCCTGTTCTTCCCATGAGCACAACTGAGGATTCAGCAACTGCCTCTTACAATGTTTGTTTTCTCTCAACTATACTGCGAGCTCCTTGAAAGCAGAAACTACATGTTAGATCTCTGTGTCTCCAGCTCTGTGATATCGTATATAAAGGGCTTTCAGTAAATTGTGATCGTAATAATAAGCTTGTCTCAATTTTTACACTGTTAGGATTATTTAATTTAAAAAATTATTACCGATATTTTAATTAACACTACCAGATAACACTGGACCACATTTCAGAACCATTAAAAATATACAGTAGACCCTTGAACAATGTGGGGGTTAGGACTCTAGCCCTCACACAGTTGAAGATCTGTATATAACTTGACTCCCCCATAACTTGTGTCTTGGTATCCATGGACGGATTGGTTCCTGGACTCCCCAAGGATACCTAAATCCACAGATGTTCAAGTCCCCTATATAAAATGGCATTGATAATGCATGCAGTCAGTGTCAGCATCAGCAGACTCCCATGGATCAAAACAATTACAGGTATTTATTGAAAAAAATCCACATATAAGTGGACCTGCACAGTTTACACCCATGTTGTGTAAGGGTCAACTTTTATTGTAATGAGATTTGATCTGATTGTTTTCTACCAGCTTTTTCTTAAACTAGTAGTTGTTTATATATATACATATACATATATTTTTTAGGCCTTATTGAATTTGAAGAATGTGACCCTGCTAGTGCAGTTGAAGGTAAGTTGACTAGTTGTAATATATGGCAACTAGCTAATATCTTGTTTATTAAACAAATAAAGAGGGTTGCTATCCATTGATGGAATGATGTAAAAAAATCTATGTTGTTTGAAGGCCTGCAGATATTAATTTTTACTTAATAAACAGTAGGTTAGCTGAAAGGATTATTATTAATTAGAGTATACATTTTAAAAGATTAAATATAACATGTATCTGTTTTTAAATATACATTGAGATTGTTTTCTTCATTGCCACCCAATTTTAAACATTCTGTTGTCATAAATATGAAACTCATCACTGCACATTATTGTGTTGTGCTTGTTCTATAGTAGGTAATTTTTCAGTAATTAATGTTAATATTACCATCATACAGAATGGGTGATGATTTGACTTGAGAAAGGGTCTATACTCTTGCTGTTTAAGTTTATCTTTTTCATAGTATGAAACCCAAAAGATGCCTGCTATTTTTACACTGTTAGGATTATTATGTTTCATATATCTTACTTTGTGAGCTACTAGAAATAATTTGAAAGCAAATTTCTATTTTTTTTAAGATCTGTGTAAGAATTTGGAGAAATGGTTTGCTGTTGTGTGTAAAGTTATTATTGAAGCAGTCAGGAACTCTGGGGTCTAGACTTCTTATAGTTATTAGCTGTTTGTGAGAATTAATGATTTAAATTCTCTGTACTTCAGCTTTCTTTATTGTAAAATGTAGATAGTAAATACTGTTCTGTGAGAATAAAACTATTTGATGTATAAAATATTATAATATGCTATACAAATGTGTGGTTTAGGGAGTTTGTTTTGCTTGAATGCAAGTACATTATTCTAAGACACCTGAATTCTAATACTGGCTACAGTGTTTACTAGTTATATAACACTGACTTAATAAAACAAGAACAAAAAATACCCTGGAGTTTCTTCATCTATAAGATGATAAGTGAGCATAGGTGTGCTCTAGTTCTCAAAGAGTAAGCAGGTAAGCTTTAAGTGCTGAACTCCATCACCAATTTAATAGCATGATTGACCTTTAAAAATTAATTGGTCATGCAGGAAGAGAAGGAAGAATTGCCATATTAGGCAAAACAAAAATATTTGTTCTCATTTATGATAGGATTCACTTATAACATTGTTTATAGTAGAGCTAACATATGGATGCCATATTACGTTGTCAATGTTATACTATAAATGGATCTTTTGTGCCATCTTTTTATATCAAACAACACATTTATATTTTGTGACCCTCTAAACAGGAAACATGATTTGACTTGTATTTGTAATAAAATCTAATATAGCGAATAATATACTGACTTGGGGAATACTTAGAAAAGAAGAGAATTTTATTGATCAAGTGAATGTTCTAAAACCTTATGGTGAATAATAGGCTATGTTACATTAACATAAGTCTAAACAGACTATAACTCTGATTTAAATACTAGGGTTTAGCAAAAGATACATTTATTTTTTTCATTCAAACTTAGTATTGACCGTTACGAGCAAATTACGTGTAAAGATACAAGATGTCATACATTTAATATATTTATCAGGAACAGATAATGTTTCTGGAACAGTACACATTTTTAATACACATTTATTTTAAGGTATAAAACCAAGGAAAAGAAAGACTTTTGGTTTGCCAGGAATAATAAAAAAGGAAAAGGATGCAGAGTCTGTGTAAGTACATTAAATATTGTCAAAATCCTTTCTTTTGTTATAAATAAGACTATTTTGAATTTGAAAAGGAAAAATTTGGGGGGAATAATTCAAATTATATGTATCTAAGGGATGAAAAATACAAAGTTTAAAAAATATATTTGCCAGCTCCTCTGGTTTTAGTTAAAAGTATTGACTTTCACCAGGCTAGTGTGGCTCAGTGGATTGAGCATTGTCCCATGTACCAAGAGGTCACCGGTTCGATTCCCTGACAGGGCACTGATCCCCAGTAGGGGGCATACAGGGGGCAACTGATTGATGTTTTTCTCACATAGATGTTTCTATCTCTCTCTCCCTCTCCAATTCTCTCTCAAAAATAAAAAAAAATCAATAAAAACATAGGAAATAAGGAGCTAAGTTAAAAAAAAAAAACCACTCTCCTTATTTTAAAATTTCAAGATGAAAGTTTTAATGTCTTAAGATTGAAATTTTAAAAATATTATTTTATAAAATTAAATGCATATTTTTAAAAACTAAAAATGCAGAGAAAACTATAAAATCTTGATGCCTAAGAAAAAACCTAGTCAACAATTTGATGAAAATCCTTCCAGACAATTCTAAGCATGTAGGGATATAGCAGTTATGTACAGATGCTACTCAACTTACAGTGTGGGGTTATGCCCTGATAAACTTGTCATAACTAAAAATATTGTAAGTCGAAAATGCTTTTATTACACCTACCAAATGTTATAGCTTAGCCTTAAACGTTCTACCTTAAACATGCTCAGAACACAGTATCTATAAAACACTGGTAACACAGTACAGATGGACCTGGACTTAACAATGGTTCAGCTTAAATTTTTCAACTGTATGATGATTTGAAAGCAATGTGTATTCAGTAGAAATTGTACTTCGAATTTTGATCAGTTCCCCAGCTAGGATTGTGCAGTACAGTTCTCTCTTATGATGATGGGCAGTGGCAGCCCTGCTATCATGAGTTTAAACAACTGATACCTACAGTGTACTATGTTGCCAGTGTTTTTTGGATATTATATTTTGTGTTTTTGCATCCTATCTTGTCTGCGAAACACCCATATGGGTGGGTCTCCTGCTTCTGGTGAGAAGAGGAATGCAAATACTCTTGAGATGAAAGTCAAGGCAATTGAACACTGTAGGCTAATGTAAGTATTGTGAGCACATTTAAAGTAGGCTGGGCTAAGTAAACTATGATGTTCAGTAGGCTATTTTATTAAATGCATTTTCAACTTACAGTGGGTTTATCAGGACATAACCTCATTGTGAATCAAGGAGCCCATCTCTGTATAGGGTAACAGTCTACCATTAAGTTGAACCATTGTAAGTGGGGACCATCTGTATGCATAAATGGAAAATGTTAAATGTGGGAGGAAAGAAAACCCTAGCATGTTTCAAACATTTATACCAGTCATCATTTTCAGATGGAGATGGCTTATACATTCGATTTATCTTTTTTTAAAATAATAAATTAATATGCAAAGAATATATAATTTAGCATATAAGAATTTCAACTAGGCCCTGGCAAGCGTGGCTCGGTTGGTTGGACTGTCATCCCATGCACCAAAGGGTCATGGATTCGATTCCTGGTCAGGGTACATACCTGGATTGCAGATGTGATTCCTGGTGGGGGTGTGTATAGGAGGCAACAGATCATTGTTTTTCTTTTTTAAAAAATTGTTTTTTTCTTTATTGATTTTAAAAAGAGAGGAAGGGAGAGGGAGAGAGAGATAGAAACATCAATGAGAAAGAACATTGATTGCCGCCTCTTACATGCCCCTAACTGGGAATTGGGCCCACAACCTGGGCATGTGCCCTGGCTGGGAATCGACGTAGCAACCTCGTGGTGCATGGGTTGACGCTCAACCACTGAGCCACACCAGCTGGGCAGATCGATGTCCGTTTTCCCGACCCCCCCCCCCCCCCCCGCTTTCTCTCCCTCTCAAATCAGTAAAAAAAGTATATCCTTGGATGAGGATTTAAAAAAAAAAAAGGAGTTCCAATTAGTACTAGTTAAGTGAAGTTTTCTACCTTGACTATACATTAGAACCACCTGGGAAATTAAATATATCTATACCTGGTCCCATCTCCAATCAGTTTAACCAGATTCTTAGACAAGAGGCCCCAACATAGTTTTTGTTTTATTTTAAGCAGCCTATTTGATTGTTAATACACATCTGGGGTTGAGAATCTTTGAGTTTTGATTAACCAGAGACAAAGTGGAATGAAAGAAATCACTTTCTGTAATTACTTAACCCATTTATATTGAAGAGACACTAATTAAAAATCTTAAGTGATTTGTTGACCCAGTAACATTGGCTGAAAACTTGTTTAAAATCCATACTACTGTAACATAATCAGAACTCACAAGATTTATTATTTTGATGGGTACTCATATTTGCAGTACAAGAGAACAGTTTGTGCTTTGGGTTTTGCCTACTACCTACTTATATCCTTATCTGAATTTCTCACAGTTTCTACTATTCTATTTATTTATTTATTTTTGGTATGTGGCCCTAGATGATAGGGCCCAGTGGGTACTGAACCTGGGACTCTCTGGTCTGCAGGCCGATGCTCCAACCGCTGAGCCAAACCAGTCAGGCTCTACCATTCTAAATGTCTGTTTTGTCCTGTTTTCTAAATGATATTTGGTTAACAAATTAAGACCAATTGCAAAGTGATTTATATCTATGGTTATCATCTCTTCTGCAAATGTGTTTTTTGAGCATTTATGAAAGGGCTCTTTTGCTAAGGGGATGGAACCAAATCTTTTTTTTTATAACATTGGAAATACATTTTGAAATCTAAACAATTGATTTGTAAGTAAATGTCTAATGCAGCCAGTTCATCTTTTCGTGACTATATTACAGAAATTAATGGCTGTAAATTAAATATTTTTATAATGTATGTTTTTCACAGGAGTTCATCCAGGGAGCTTATAATATTTTTGTATGTATGTGTTTTTAAATAAGATTTTATGATGAGTAATTTCCCAATATGATCATTAGGACATTTGGATATTGGAATATTTTTACTAATGAGAATGCTAGGGCAGAAAATTATTCTTAAACTACTGTACCATGATTGCTTTCTTTCAAGACTTTCTGGCAGAAAAAAATGTTAGAATTCACTTTGTTTAAAATGCCCAAGGCTCTTGGCAGACTTATTCTTATAACCTGAAGGCTTTTGAAATGCTAGTAGTTGTGAAAGAAGGATCCTGCTTAGAATATGCTCTTTCTGGAGATTCATCTGCAGGTCTCACAGAGCCCACTGCGAAGGCAAACAGATGAGTGCTTTAAAACAGACTGAAGAGTTCTGGCTTAAAGCCAGACAATAAACTGAAACTTATACCCTTGCTTTTATTTTTTAACTGTATCTTTTAAAAAATGTAGAAGGTAGAAATGTTCTAATATCCTTTTTTTTCTTTCTTTATCCTCACCGGAGGACGTTTTTCCGTTTTTTTGTTCAGTCAGAGTGGGAGGGAGGGAGGGAGGGAGGGAGACAGACAGACAGACAGACAGACAGACAGACAGATAGACATCGATGTGAAAGGGACACATCGAGTGGCTGCCACCTGCAGAACCAACCAGGGCCGGGGATGAACTGCAACCAAGGTACGTGCCCTTGGTGGGAACCGAACCCAGGTCTCTCTGGACCGCAGGCCGACGCTCTAACTGCTGAGCCAAACCCTCCAGGGTGAAATGTAGTAATATCTTAATTGATTTGATGCTGTAGAGGGATTGAATTTATTATTACAGTGCCTTTTCTAGTGTAACATTTTCCCAGCGTATACATAGGTTTTCCTCATTTACCAATAATAAGGAAGCTCTTTTTCAATATTGGTGATTTTAAGTGGATATAAAGATGGGGGATTTGCATTTACCCTGTCCCTTTGGTGCTTCAGTTTGGATTAAGAGCAGTGTAGTCATCTCACGCTTTTTTCATTCATTCAGTCTTTTCTATTCTGTCTTCCTGTAACAAAAATGTTCAATTTGTAGATTTTTCTGATTTATGCTTAATTTTTGGCAAGATAGAGATTACTTGTTTACTCTATATATTGGTGCTTTTTATTGTTCATTTGGCTGTTAAGGTGTATATAATGCCTATATTTTCAGTCTGTCAAAGTGACACGTTTTGATAATATGTGCATTATCTGTCTCAAGCCAAAGAATATGTAACTAATCCAAATATCTTTTAAATATGCACTCTAATTTTTGTGAATTTTTAAAGAATATATGCATAGAAATTTTCTATCCTTATTCCTCATGGCTTCCATGTCTTTAATTTTACATTTTTAGGTTAATTGAGAAGGTTGGTTTTTATGGTTTTTTTTGGCAGTACTTGCCCCTAGCAGGAACCAAACCTGGGACTCTCTGGTCCGCAGGCTGACGCTCAACCGCTGAGCCAAACTGGCCAGGGCGGTTTTTATGTTTTAATTTTACATTTAAAGCAGTGTTTCTCAACCTTCCTAATGCCGCGACCCTTTAATACAGGTTGTGGTGACCTCCAACCATAAAATTATTTTTGTTGCTACTTCATAACTGTAGTTTTGCTACTGTTATGTCTTAGACGACCCCTGTGAAAGGGTCGTTCGACCCCCAGGTCGAGAACCGCTGATTTAAAGTAATAGTTTTTATTTACATCCAAAGTGATATTTGTTTATCAGTTAAATAATAATATGCCGATTCTGAACTATTATATTAGACTAGAAAGCTACTCCAAATTGAAGTCTAACTACTCATTTAACACATTTGGAAAAAAAGTGGTTTTGTAAACCATTTATATTAGATGAGCTTAAAGAAAGTACTGTACTTTAAAACTTCAGTTTTGAAAGTATAGACTTTAGAAAACATTTTAAAAGTTTATTTACAATTTTTTTACTATTATTTACCAATAAATATAAATATAGACTTTTTTCTTAAAGCCAGGCTTTTTTTTGAAGGAAATTTATTTTTTACACTTTCTCTCCCTGAAGAATTAAAAGTCACTAGAAATCCTTGTAGGACTGACAGCTTCTTTGATATGATTCATGTTATATTCATGGAAAAAGAAGTACTTTTGAAAATAGTTTTAAAAATACTTGTGTTTTATTTTGTCATGTATTATGGGTACAGGATGTGGGTACAGGATGCCTTCTTTTGAATTTTAAATTATTTGTTTTTCATCTTCATGAAATGATTTCTGTAAGTATTTTTATAGAGTTTAAATACAAGTTATGCTTAAATACCAAGGTAGAGATTTTTAGTATAGTATTATTATCAGATAGTTCTAATAGTTGAATATTTCTAATACTTTGTTTGTTTTAATAGGGAATGCCCTGATGCAGATTCACTTGTAAGTAGATTTTACTTTGATATTAACAATTTAAATTTAGCTGTTTTCATTAGGAAATACCTAGCATATTTGGGTTGCATTGTTTTCAGATCTTTCAAAGAAAAATACTAATCATGTTACTGTAAATTCACAATTAAAATTATTTTACAGATGCATTTTTGGCTTTATATTGCCAGATGATTTCCTATTAAATAGAGGTGTTTCTAACTGCCTTTGAAAAGTGAACATTTTACTTTTAGAATTGGAGTGGTGCCATAGCATATTGCTTTTTCTTGGGAAATATTTCAGATCTCAAATCTGCATATTTTATTTTAAAATATGGTGCTGTTATTAATTTATTCTTAGTTCTCTTAAAGTAGTACTTTATCTGTTCATGCATTTAAGTTTTATTTAAGAGATTGTCATTTTAGAAAAAATAACCATGGTTAATACTTTTCTGTGCTTTTTAATTTGTTTTTAGTTTTTTAAGTGTATTTCTTTATATATAATTAAATAAGATATCAAATGGAGCTCCCTGTGGTTACAATGGAATAGATTTACCAAGTGGTGTAAGTAGTATGTAAACAGACACATTTTTCAAATTGCTCTTTAAACACTGGTCCTGTTGATAAGTGTAGTAGATCCAAACTGTTGTTTCTCTTGGCCCAAAAACAGTTTGGTGTTTTACAGCATAATGGTATACCAAAATAAAGAACTAGATATTTTCTGAAACATTGTGTTTTGTATTAATTAACATAAAACTAGTATTTTGTTTCATATTTTAGCTTTAAAATAAGAATACTATCACCTTTTAATAAATTTATGGTGAAAATAATGAAATCAATTCTTGATGAGCTCTAGGAATCATCAGAGTGTTTTTTGAGTTATAACATTTACCTTGCCATTTGCCTATTTTAATACCCTTGGTTTATTAATTAATAAAAAAGCCAGCAGAGCCCTGGCTGGTTTGGCTGAGCGGTTGGTGTGTCGGCCCACGGACCAATGAGTTGCAAGTTCAATTCCAGTTAAGGGCATGTACCTCGGTTGCGGTTTGTCCCAGGCCCTGGTTGGGGTCGTGCGGGAGGCAGCCAGTTGGTGTGTCCCCATCACGTCGATGTTTCTCTCTTTCTCCCTCTCTCTCCCTCCCTCCCACTCTATCTGAAGATAAATAGAAAAATATCCTCGGGTGAGGATTAAAAAAAAAAAAAAAAAAATTCCAGCAGATGTGTTTGACATTTACTTTTAGTACTCGTGTATTTTATTTGAGTTAATTATGTATAGCATTTGTTTGATGATTGTAACTTTGGGTGAAATCCTTTAGTACTTCATGTTTTATTTTATATTTTCCCTTAAAACATTTTTAATTCTCTCAGCTCATTGATACTATTCTATAATGATCAGTATTAACAGTTTTTAACTTCAGTTAGTATTTAACTGGAAGCAGAAACGGGCTTTTAAAGAGGAAACAAAATTCTTATGCCATACAAGAAATGATTGGTAAATTTGACTGTCTAGAAATAAAAAATCTCATAAAATTAGAAAAAATACATCATAGAAGGATTTGCATAACTAAAGATAAATTGGCAGAGTGTATTTGCAAGACATGTAACAAGGAGTTAATTACTTTCCATTATAAAGTTTTTATAAAAATCAGCATAAAAGGTAAGCAAGCACCTAGTAGGAAAGGGACATTAAATAAAAACATGTAATTTTCATAAAAAGAAATAAAAATGGTGAATCAAATTAAGAAATAGTAGTCTTATTCTGGTGCAAATTAGAATGACATTACTGTGTGTTCACCTATCATATTGGCCAAACTAGGAATGCAAATTGGTACAGTCTGACTTATGGATACTTTGCCAGTATCTCCCCAAATAAGAAATACGTGTTCTGCCCTGGCCGGTTTGGCTCAGCGGTTGGAGATTTGGCCTGCGGTCTGGAGAGACCCAGGTTCGGTTCCCGCTAGGGGCACGTACCTCGGTTGCAATTTGTCCCTAGCCCTGGTTGGGTCGTGTGGGTGGCAACCACTCGATGTGTCCCTTTCACGTCGATGTTTCTCTCTCTCTCTCTCTCTCCCTCCTACTCTATCTGAACAAAATGTCAAAAAATGTCCTTGGGTTAAAAAAAAAATACATGTTCTTTTGACCCTGCAATCCTACTGCTAGGGGTTTACTATTATGACTATATTCACAAATATAGTCATAAATATGTAATTCATCAAGATATATGCATAAAACGATGGAGAGGGAGAGAGGTAAAGATAATTGTATATTAGAAAAAACTGGAAATGCTAAAACATCTGTCAAGATGGGATTGGTTAAATAAATCATTAAACATTCACTTGATGAAGTAACAAATGTTACAGTTACCTTGTTCTGTGCTAACATGGAAAGAGCTTACTAAATAAAAGGAAGTATGAACTTTTAAGCAATTGGTGTTTTAAAAATATAAATGGTAGGTATAGTAGTTCTTCCCCATGCATGATTTTGCTTTCTGTGGTTTCAGTTACCTGCTGTCAATTGCAGTCAGGAAATAATGGAAAATTCCACAAATAAACAATTCATATGTTTTAAATTGTGTGCCATTTTGAGTAGTGTGATAAAATCTCATGCTGTCCTGCTCCTTCCCACTTGGGTTGTGAATCATCCCTTTGTCCAGCATATCCATATTTGTATATACTATCCACCCTTTAGTCTTGGTTGTTACCAGTTTGTCGCCATCTTGTTTATCAGTTTAACTGTCACAGTATTGCTGTGTTTGTGTTTAAGTGATCCTTGTTTTACTTAATAATGCTACATTCACATAGCTTTTATTGCAGTATATTGTTAAAATTGTTATATTTTATTAGTATTCTTGTTAATATCTTACTTTGTCTAATTTATAAATTAAACTTTATTATAGGTGTGTATGTATAGGAAAAAACGTGTATGTAGTGTTTGGTACTATCTGTAGTTTCAGGCAGCCATTGGGGGGTCTTGGAGCATATTCCCTGAGTTTTTTTGGGGGGAGGAATTAGTGACTATGTGTTCACTTTTTAAAAGAGAATGAATTACAAGACACTTAATTGTGGTTACCTTTGGGGAGAAGGTTTACAGTGGTGCTAAGCAAGGAAAGAAGGCTTTCATTTTTTTTTGTTGTTTACTTTTATTTATGGCTAGTCTTACTAATTACTTGTAAAAACATCAGTAGGCTATCTTGGTAGAGAAATTGTTTATTTTCTTTTTGGTTTAATGTCTGTGTAATTTAAAAAATTAAGTTGAGGTCCTTTGTATTTTGAAAGTTTACCAAGGAACTGTGAATTGCTCTTTTCTTTTGGTTTTGGTCAGTTCCCTCATTCCAGATATAGATTGAGAAACATTTCACTGACTTGTGAGCTCTATCCCAATATATTTTTTGAAATCACTACCACTGTACATAATCCACCAAAACTGCCTTTAAGATTGGTGAGCGAAATAAACTGCTTTTTTCTTCTTCATACTGCTTTTGACTTAGTGCTTTGCTCCAGCATTGTTGGGCCCTACATATATAAATTATGGGTTGAATGGACCAAGGTGTAAACGGGTTAAAACAGGTTAGTTTTTGTGGGGTTTTTTTTGGTAATTGAACTTATTGGGGTGATAATGGTTCACAAAATCATACTGATTTCAAATGTACAACTCAATAAAACATCAGCTGCACATTGTATCATGCATCCATCGCCCCAGACAAAGTCTCTTTCTGTTCCTTTGGTCCACCTCCACCTACTCCCTTAACCCCCTTTCCCTTTGTCTATCACCACACTATTTTCTGTGTCTGTGTTATACATATTATAATATATATAATATATATATATATTTTAATGCCTTCACCTTTGTTCACCCAACCCCCTACCCCACTCTGCTGTGACAGCTGTCAGTCTGTTCCATGTATCCATGCCTCTGTTTTTATTTTGTCATTTAATTTCGTTCACTAGATTCCACATATAAGTGAGATAATATGGTATTTGTATTTCTTTGACGAGCATATTTCACTTATTATAAAAGATATCCATTTTTTTTTTTTTACAGCTCCCTCGTATTCCATGTGTAAATGTACCACAGTTTTTTTATTCACTCTACTGGTGGGCACTTGGGCTTGTTTCCAGATCTTGGCTATTGTAAATAATGCTACAGTGAACATAGGGTTGCATATATTCTTTTGATTTCATGTTTGAGGTTTCTTAGGCTGTGTTCCCAGAAGTGGGATTGCTGGATCATAAGGCAGTTCCAATTTTAATTTTTTGAGGTAACTTTATACTCCTTTACACAGTGGCCGCACCAGTCTGCATTCCCACCAATAGTGCATGAAGGTTCCCTTTTCTCCATTTCTTCGCCAACACTTGTTTGTTGATTTACTGGTGAAAGCCATTCTGACCAGTATGAGGTGATATATCACCCACTGTGATTTTTCTCCTTCATTTTGTTTATGTGATATACCACATTTATTGATTTGTAAGTATTGTACAAATCTTGCAACCCTGAAATAAATCCCACTTGATCATCGTGTATGATCTTTTTGATATATTGCTGGATCTGGTTTGCGTATTTTATTGAGGATTTTATCGTCTAGGTTCATCAGGGGTATTGGCCTGTAATTTTCTTTCTTTGTAGTGTCTTTATCTAGTTTTGGAATTAGGATTATGTTGGCCTTGTTTTTGTTTTTTCTATTCTCAACTGCAACCAAGGTACGTGCCCTTAGCGGGAACCGAACCTGGGTCTCTCTGGACCGCAGGCCAATGCTCTAACCACTGAACCAAACTGGCCAGGACTGTTGGCCTTGTTTTTAAAAAGAGCTTGGAAGTCTTCCCTCTTCTTGAATTTTTTGGAATAGTTTGAGAAGGATAGGTGTTAGTTCTTCATTGAATGTTTGGTAAAATTCACCTGTGAAGCCATCAAGCCCAGGACTTTTATTGTTGGGAGTTTTTTGATTGCTGCTTTAATTTAATTAGTTGTAATCAGTCTATTCAGTTTTCTGATTCTTCCTGTTTCAGTTTTGGAAGATCG